ACCAAACCATATTGCAGCAACTTGAATATCTAAAAAATGTCATCTAGAATTAAAGATATGTCCTAATAGTTATATTTTCCATAAAAAAATGCACCAAACAGCCATTTTGAATATATGCAAATTAGGTATATTTCGGAAGCCTAGATTTTCCTAGACTTTTAGTATGTCAATCTAGGCACCTCCCTGGAATGTATTGTGAAGAAATTATTTCTGTTGCAATTTGTGATGGGTCAAACCATAAATTGACTGGACTAAATTGTACCATGCACTATTTTATAATTAAAGATTCTTAGTATTTGATTTTGATCAGATTGGAAGCATTGGCGAAAATACATAGCTCAATCAGATTTAATACAGTATATAGTGAAATAAATAAAACAAGAATAACATGATGTTCAATTGCCAAAAGAGGCTGTCTCACTGAACAGAATTGGTTAAGCTATAATGTAATGACTGAATAAATGGAAATGGCTTGTAATATCATGCTAACTGTACCTGATCATTGATTTCCCAGCAGATTCCATCATTAGCACACGGATTGGGCAAACACACACCAAGTTGTAGTTCACAAAAATTACCAGCATACCCCTCTGCACAACTACAGAAAGGACCTACAGACAATAAAAACAAAAGATATCATACAAGGTACCCATAGAGGGAGTCACTCATGCAGTTTCATTTTCTGAAGTGTACATACAAGTGATTGCCACTGTGAGCTGACATACCTGAAGCTTTTGTCCCACTAAATTACAAAGAAGGGCCAACTTCTATGATTTATTTGGGGTGTGAAAATTAATTACTGCTGCTGCCATAATGTTTTATACACCAAAACAGCAACATTTCCAGCTAATGGCCATGTGTGAAAATCTTTATCTAATATTAGCTTGAGACATGTAAAATTTCTTTCAGCAAGTTAACTGCATGGTTACTGTAAAACTAATGAGATGATGACAGTAGTATTTGCCTATGAGACTTGACACTGCAATTTTTGGAAATTTAACATTTTTGTCACCGGGAATTCAACGTTGCTGATTATAAAATGATGATACACACTTGGGAAAAAAAAACACATATATAATTTGTCAGAGTTATGCTCACCTAATGCATCAGTGAAACACATTCCTCCATTTTGACATGGCTGTGGAGTGCATGATGATACACTAGTTTCACAGCGGTCACCGATAAACCCAGCATAACACTGACACTCATAGCCACCATCTATATCAATACATAAGCCACTATTATAGCAAGGGTTACTATCACATGGATCAGACACAATATCCTCACAGTTTTCTCCAGTGAATGGTGGGGTACAAATACACACGTAGGAAGTATATCCCTGATCCACACACTCTCCAGAATTCTGGCACGGGTTAGAGCTGCAGGGAAGAGGTGGCAGTATTTCATCACAGTTGGTTCCGGTGTATCCACTGAAGCAGGTGCAGAAATAAGCATCCCCGCTGATCTGACACTCGCCATTAACGCATGGTTCCAAATCACAAGCAGTAATTTGCCTTTCACAGTCCCGTCCAGTGTATCCAGCAGCGCACGTGCATGTATAGTCATTGACTAAATTGTTACAAATCGCACCATTCTGACATGGATCGGTGTCGCAGGGTAGAATTAAAATATCGCATATAGACCCAGTATACCCTGTAAAGCAGGTGCATGTGAAAGTATCAACAGTGTATTCACACAGCCCAAACACGCATGGGTTATTGTCACATGGCGTGACTAACGTCTCGCAGTTGTTCCCAATATAGTTAACCTGACATGTACACTTGTAGCTTGAACTGTTGATGACTTCGCAAACTCCATTATTCAAACACGGCTGAGTATTGCATGGCGTGACTTCCAGATCACAATTTGTACCACGGTAACCAGCATCACAAACACAAACATATGAACTTCCAACTTGCTGGCAGATTCCATGAACGCATGGATCAGGGTTACATGGGATATCAACCTCGCACCGTTCGCCGGTATATCCGGGATTGCATTCACAGGTGTAGGAAGCGACACCGTCAATACAACGGCCATTGTTAAAGCAAGGCGCGACCTGCGAGGCCAAGCATTCATCAATATCATTCTCACAGTTGTCGCCAGTATATCCGTTCACGCAGAAACATGAATACTCTCCTTCATTAAGGTTACCAGGGCATCCAGGTACCCCTTTCTGGCAACAATATCCATAGTTTTTACATGGATTTGGATCACAGGAGTCTACCACCTCTGTACAATACTGTCCAGTAAAGCCAACACTGCAGCTACAGGTATAGCCATTGACTTCATCTATGCATGTGCCTAAAAATCAAAAACAAAATATTATTAGTATCTGAATTAAAATACCGGGGTAATATGTCTAATTTCTAATTAAACCTGTCACTTTTCATGAAATAAACCAGCACAATTGTTTTCATAATATTTAAAATGTTTATCAATTTCTTAAAAATATACATAATTTTGCAGTAAATTTTAGGCAAGAAGAATTATGGTAGTTGAAGTGATGAGAATAAAGGAGAGTTTTAAAATAGAAGAGGTAAAGTGTAAAATGTAAGACCACTTTTTATGTACAATACCCATGAAATAGACAATACCGGGTAGTGACAATTTTTATGACATTTTATTATTTTCTCCACATAAACTTTGATATTACAATGCTTTACAAAAAACATTAATGTATTTAATGACAAAATGTATTTTCATTGTTGCTACGGAAACTGTTTGCATATTATAAAAAACTGTTTGACCAAACCTTTTTCAACAGAATAAATTCAATTTTATTTGTGCATATGCTACAGTTAGAAATTTTTTTGCTAATATGAGAAGTTCATTTTATAGTTCATACATGTATGCTTCTGTTAAAACTGTAATATGTTGACCCCCTAACTAAGTTTTAATTTTAAACTTATGTGAGTAGTCTGCACAATTCCTGAGTAATAAATAAGAAGACTAGATATTCTCATCTTCTGTTTCTACTTGGACCAGCATTTTAAATTTACTCACCTTGTGGTCCACACAGATTTGAAACACAGTCATCAATGTCATCTTCACAGTATCTACCAGTGTACCCGGTCAGACACAAGCATGATGGCTCAATCTGACCTATAGGGGGCGGTTGGCATATCCCACCATTGAAGCAAGGATTGGTGTTGCAAGGCGCAGGCAATTCACAGTTGACACCGGCTCTGTTATCGGGACAAAGACAGACGTAGGAATTGATGCCATCTACACACGTGCCACCAAATATGCAAGGAGCTGAAGCGCAGTCGTTAATGTTGGATTCACAATTGACACCTGGATGATAATAATAATGACAATGAAGAACACATAGACTTACATAGCAACAACATATCATTTAATTACAATATGTCAGAAAAAAAAAGGGTCATCAATTTAGTACTCATAGCATCAAGGAAGAATAATGCACATATATTTGGTAAGAAAACAAAATTCTATACCAAAAAGTTCAATGTTTCAACAAATAATTTGAACATTTTTGTTGGAGTCATGATTTGTTTTTCACATACATTCCTGTACCAATGAGATTTAAAAGAATATTATAAGCCCATAGCAATAACAGATTTTGCAGAAATAGGTTGGACGCTGTCTGAAGATCAGATGTGCTTCTAATGGAACAAATGAGTTAGTGAGATCATCATCAATATATTAAATATTTTAAATTCATTCACTATTGTTGTATACATTACCTGCAAATCCCACTAAGCAGGCACAGAAATAACGATTCACTTCATCCTGACATTGACCACCATTTTGACACGGCTGACTTGAACATTCGTTGATCTCCACTTCACAAAGTAAGCTGGTATAACCCGGTGCACATGCACAGATAAAACTACCAATGTTTACTGGGTCATTCTGACAAACTGCATTGTTTTCACAGGGATTGGAATTGCAGGCATTGATCAGTGTTTCACAGTTGGTTCCCCCATGTGTAGATAGACATTCACATGTATAAGCATTTATCAAGTTATTACATGTGCCTGAAAATGGAAATAGACT